GAGACAATGATTCTCTTTGCTGATCCATTTCCCAGCTATATGAAGAGATATTGCCCCCTCAAACATAAAAAAAGTAAGTGCTGGATTATTTCTCACTCTCCCAACCATGGGAAATATCCAAAGCCATATCATATACAGAGTCATATATATGAGAGACCCCTTATCCCACTCCTGAGGAATTCATGGAGGGCTGGGATGTACTTCAGGCCACCCAGGAGGCTAGTGGCTCAAGCGAAAAGGGAATCCCCCTTTGCCTACCAGTTAGACGACTGCACGCCCAGAGGAGTCCTTATTTTTATAATGCAGAGAGGGTTTTACATCATGCAACCACTTACAAACTCTTTCTCTGGAGTAAAAGATGGAGCAGAATTCCTCTCCTCCTGAAAGGCTTCCAGGAAGTTGAAGTTGGCTGACTGAGAGATGCTGAGATTGAGATACAGAGTGACCAACTAGGGTAGGACAAGCCAAAAGACACTGTGCAGAAGACTGCTCCAGAGTGTGGGGTGGGTTCGAAGAAGGGATCAGTTCAACTCCTCAGGACTCAGTGCAGTGAAGGATGGAGATATCCTGACAAGGGACCAGAGAGGCCTGGATTAGAAGGTATCGAGGAATACAGACTGACACAGGATATGTGAGCTAATAGTGGGCAGTGACTCCTGGATGGGAGGCAAGGAGGGGTTAAAAGAAAACAGTGGATGCCATGGTTGGCAGTAGATCGTGGTTGCCACGGAGACTATCAAGCCTATTTTCAGAGAGTAAGTGTCCTAATTATTAGACCTCAGGCACAAAGTAGATCATTGATTTTGGAAAACAAGGAAACTTCAATTTTCTAAATTGGGGCAAAGGGTTAAGCCAAATAGCAACTCTGGCCAGTTCTAGAGAATGGGCCGGAATTCTGTGACATGAAGAAAGTGAAATGCTATTTTATCATTTACTTAAAATCTGTGATGAAAACACAAGTGAAGGTGAAGGCCAGGCTCACAGTAAGTCTCTAAGCTTCATCAATTCCTTTCCTCTCTCTCTCAAGACTAACAACTATGTGGCAGCCCTTGAAAGTCCAGAGCACACTTAGAAATGATCTGTGCCCCAGGTGTTAAAAGATTAATGAAACCAGTCAATCACATTCCCCAAGGCACTTAGGGGTGCTTAGAATTGTCCAGACACAATGGAAAAACTTCACATTGGTGCTCTTTGTATTCCTCTTCCACAAGATCTATGTTCTAAAGGCCCTTTTCACCCAAATACTGATTTGCCTTAGAGACCTTGATCAATACAAAACCCACAAAAACAAAAGACTGCTTTATTCCTTCATGAGTTACATTACCCAGGTAATCACAATTGGAGCTACCAAAGCAGGGAATTTTAAGTTGGTATCTTTTGGTCCTTGAAAATGTTGATGGTTGCAAGCAAAACATTGATGGTTTTAAACTTTTTCAAACAAGAGGATCACATGCCCTAAATACTGACCATGGGCCATTACTTTATCTGTGGTTCAGATGTAAGAAGAGCCTAGACATAATTTCATAAAGTATAAATATTTTGAAAAGTCCCAGGAAGCTCTCTCCTATCAGTGCCACATAAGGTACTGTGGTTTTAGCATAAAATATCACAAATGATGGAATTATAACTGAGAATAAGCTCTCTTAATGGCGATATGTGATCTAGTCTCTTCTTCAGTGCAGTCACAAACATAGTGCTTTACTAAGGAATATATCCACATGACACCCAGCACAACATGCCACACTGAGATGCTGTTTGGGCTTCAAACTGGAAATTACATTCCTTAAGAGCATTCTTCTTTGGTTATAAACGGGTAATCATAAATACACACATTCAATACTATCCAAACTACTTCTTTTTGAGCTGGTGTTTAACAAACATTGTGTTTGTTAATATTAAACATGTAAGTGTGTCACAGTGTCTGCCTTCCTCTTGATGCATTCTTGAGATATTTTGAGTTTATCCATAAAGACTGTGTCTAGCAATTCAAGTGTGAAGCCACAAGCTACAAAGTTAATTGATCCTAAGCAGTGATCAGGTCTCACCCTGGACAAATTACTTCAGCCACAAGTCAACCCAAGTGCAATCAAGGATTGAATCAATATTGAACCTTATCCAAATTTCATCAGTCTTCTTTCTACCTTAATTTTCTATGCCCAGGTTTCACATGGATAGCACTGCCATTCACTTTCTTATTATAGGGATGAAGTATTATTTTTATTATGATAATATTTATAACATGTTAGAGTATGATAATATTTATAACATAGTAGATGATTTTAAAAGAACATGTCTTTCCTAGAAATGTCACTAGTAAAATGTATCCAATTTTTCTCTAACGTGGTGCTTTCCCTGTCCATAAAACTTATTTGATTAGCAGTACTATAGAAGCTAACGCTTTTGTATGCAGGCACTCAAGCATAATTTAATCATTTTATTTAAGCATGAAAAAAAATTATTCTGAAAGCCCTGTTAGGTAAAATATCCCTGACTAGTTTAAACTTACATTTGCAGGTATATTAAAGGTGAAATAAATCACAGAATGCTCAGTATGCAATGGAAAAGTGTTAACTTTGTTACAATAGTCGGCAGCAAGTTAAAAATTGTAGTATTAGAGAATGTAAGGAATAACTGTCTTATTTAAAATAAATGCATTTAGAAAGGTTACTTTAAAATAAATTTTGTTTTGTGCAAATCCTTTTTATATTACCAAGACTTTCACCTATGGAAACCTTTTTTATAGTCAAACAAGATGAGGTCCTAATTGCATAATACCATTTATCTGCTGAGGATAAAAAGTGCCAACAAATGAAAATGCACATTAGGCAAGAGATTGTCAGAATAGAAAATTGGTTTTTGCTATTTTTTATTTTTTTGTTTTTAAATAACCCACTCACATTAACAAAAGACTGCAGTAGCTACCAAATTATAGGTTGTTATTTTTAGTGGAAGTAGTTCAATATTCATATTGGAGCAGATGTAGCAGTTTAACAAAACAGCTCTTCAAATCCTGCACAAATTGAAAACAGGAAAACTGATTGCATTTTCTCTTATCACTTTCCTTTTCTGAATTGACACTTTTGGCCTTCTGAAAATTTACACATGGCTTTCATCTCAACAGCACCTGCTGATCAAATAGAAACCTAACATTTTCATGAAAATGGTATAAAGGGCCAGTTTTGTTCTAACCACTGTAAAGGGCATGAGTTGCCTGCTTGGTGGCAACAATTGCTGTGTATAAGTCATATTCATAATAGTTTTATGCTTTCATTAAACTTTTGAAAATGTGTTAGGTTCCTTCTGGATTTTTTTTTCATATTTACTTTTTTTATGGTTCAAATTTCTTTGACTCAATCTGCCTAATACTTAATTTTATTGTGCAAAGACCAGGCAAATGTGTAAAACAGTAGATTACACTAAGATAACAAATAGTATTTTGTCTGCCTCTGCTTAAAATACACACATATTTATCTCTCTCTCTCTCTCTCTCTCTCTCTCTCTCTCTATATATATATATATATATATATATATATATATATATATCACTAAGCACATGAGTGTAAAATGTATGCATCTCATTCATTTCATATTCTACTCAACAAAAGAAAACTAGAAACAAGTCAGTCGGGCCCTATTTTGAAGGGACCCTACATGTTCTTTTATCAGATATAGCCGTAATAGGAGCTTCCCCAGAATGGGGAAAAATGGATGTCACCCAAGCACAAGCTGGTCATCTAACTGAAATGAATGACCACTTGCTGTAACTACCTCCCCAGGAAGTAAAGGTAAATCTTGAAAATGGGTATTCTCTTCTGTAAAACAGGCAAGGATGCTAGCTACCTTGCTTCTCTGATTTTTAAATAAAAATGCTCCACATGTTTTTATGTAACATCCAATTCTGGGTAAAATTAATGATGTTCCTAAGACATGCTGTCAGCTTCTTAGCCAAAAAAAGCTCTACCCCTTCTGAAGGATTCCAAGCTGTCCTTTCCTATTCTGCCCGGGTGATAAGGTAACCTGAAGGCAGAAATGACATACAGTAATATATGTGCCACTCTGACCAGTTGGGCTGTGAATTTCAGTGTTTCATCATGCTCACTGAGGCAACAGCAAACCTGAAATGTCAATATGTTCAGTCAATGGAAGTAAAATAATGGGACTCTATTGTCTTACCCAATCGATCTGCTGCTGTCAACAAGGAAACATGCCCCTCTGGCTTTAAACAAATTTTAATTAGGCTTTTAGTTACTGGATCATATCTATCTACCTATGAAATAAACCTAGCTTGACAATGTTTAGGAGGCAATCATTGTCTACTTTCATTCCTTTTAAGAATCTTCTAAAGTTGATATAATAATTTTTTGAAATACATTCATGAGTCAAAAACATTTTTTTTTCTTCTTTCAAACTGATTCTAAGCAAAAGAGTCATGGTTCTTATTCAAAAACCAAATCTACCTAACGGACTTAGATTGATTTTTTTTCCCCTTTAGCCAGAGTTGACCCATACTACACAATCAACAAATTCCATATTAAAAGTAGGCTTCGGTTGCCTTTCACATCACTGGAGGACCCTTAACACCAACACATCAGCAGTGCAAAACAAGTGACACAAAACCAAACATTAACGACCAATCCCCAAAGCTTCTACCCTCTTCAACTCAGTTTGATCAATCCTACAGGGAAGGGTAAATGAAACTCCTTTAAAATAAGGTAGATGCCAGGCGCTGGGAAAGATGGGGTGAGAGTGAATAGCCAATAAGACATTTTAAGTCATTCAAATTGCACCTAAGTTCTTCCCATCGGAAGGGAGACAGTCTCACCTTAAAATAAAAATGAACTAATCAAGTTGTTAAGCAGTCTTTCTCTCCCTCTTCATCTAAAGGCTTCAGAGTCCAGTCAATAAATAATCTATTGTTCCCCCTTTATCGAGTCTCTTTAAACCTATTCAGACTGGCAAAACTAAACCCAATTAAAGATAAGGCCCTCCGGTAATCTCACCTCGGTGAGTCCTGTCTGGATAGCAGAGGTGATGGGAGATAGCGTCAAGGCCAGGGCTGATGCCTCCTCCTCACCCCGCACAACAAAAGGCAGATTTCTCTTTCTCCCTCTGCTAATCTTTAAATGTAAATTCTCTCCGCCAGCTAAGAGGAGCGACAGATAACATGTTACATCTTCACTTCTCCTGGTCTTATCGACTTCTGAATCATTTGGAAAGGGAGAGAGGGAGCGGGCAGAGCCGCCTCCCCGCGCCCCCCTTGCTCGCGGCCACCCCCTCCTCCGCGCGCCTCCCCCGTTCACGGAGATTACCTTCTGGCAAAGGAGCGCGCGAGAGGCGGCCGCGGCCGAGGCGGCACCCAGACCGCGGCTTTGTATTCATTAAACACACATCGGAGCTTATCAGAAGTAAAAGGCTTGTCAGGATGGCACATTGTGTGTGAGTGAGTGTGTGAGCGCAGGAGGGAGAGGAGAGAAGCCAACGTGCATCAGGGTGATTACAATATCAGCAGGGCCCAGATGGAGGCAGGAAAATAAACAGAGGGTGCGTGTGAGACAGAGCGGGAGAGGGAGGAAAAGTGGGAGAGAGAGAGAGAGGAGAAGAGACACAAGCAGGAGGGGCGAAACCATAAGGGATGAGGGGGCGGGGGTTCAGGCCCCTCGATGGGACTGGGAAGTAGGGGAGAACTACCCTGAGGCTGAGTGGGGGTGAAAGCCAGGGCTGGGGGTCGCCTGCACGCCCCAATCTGTCCCTAACCCCCATGAAAAAAAAGGGAGGAAATCCAGACCAGACAACTGCATTTCCCTCCAAAATGTTCACATTTTGGAGGTTCTGTCAAGGTCAAAGTTTTCAAAACCACTCTTTTGACTGTGTAACAATGAGATCTTCATCATCTCACCTCCATTCAAATAACCACAATTTGCAAAACCAACCTAGTGAATCCACAGAGCAGTCCTTTAGCCTTCCAGACCACCCTCCAGTGAGGGTTCCTGTCCCTTTCTCTGCTGACCCAGATACCCTAAATTCCAATCCCCAAACACCCACACAGAGAAGATGGGCACAGGCGGATATAAAATAGCTCCCTTTGTGGGCTGTAATGGGTCCCAGCTGAAGACTCATGCAGCCAGTATCATTGGGATAAGGAGGACCACTTGTGATTGGTAGCTACAGGTGACTCCAAGACACCTGCTCCACCTCCAGAAATTGTGTTGGGGGAGGGGGATTCCTTATGTGTACATCTGAAAGTCTATTTTGGAGGTGGGAATTTGAAATTGAGGCAATCAATCTCAGTTTCAGCTGCCTCACAGCTCTTCACCCACCCAGAGCCAGAGAATCAATCAGAGAACAAGTAGGGGCTAATGCTCCTCCATCAGACCAGAGTTCATCCTCCTCTCCTGCAGGGTCAGGAGGGAGATACACCTGAGTAGTCCCTTGGGAGCCCCTTTTCACTTTTAAATGCACCCATCAGACAATCTGAACATCTGATCAGATCCTTAATGGAGTGCAGATAATGCAGCAAAGGAGGTTCTTTTATTGGGGGAAGGGAGGTCATTTGGATGTGTTGTGTTTCAAGGCACTGAAGCCTGGTTAAGAAGCTCTCACTGCAGTGTGGAGAGTGAGTTCAGAATAAAAAAAGCCAATAAACTACATAATTTTTCATGGCACACACTGTGGCCCCAGCTGCTATGAAACTTGGAGTCATAAAATAGTTTGTGCATGAGAAAGTAGAAAGGGACAAAATGGGGGGAGAAGGAATAGGGCAAATGAGTCCAGAAGGATATGGAAGAGCAAGAGAACTAGCAGTCACCTTTTAGGGGAGACAAATTTTTAAGAGGATCTTTAGAAAATGATGAGGCATTGTTTAATCAACTACTCTCCCCGAAAATCACTTAGCCAAAAAACTGTTTTATGTGTAGTGCCCCCCCCCTTCCCTCCAAGCTCCCACCCCAAGAAAAGAATCAAGGGATATTTGATAGGTAACACAAAGTGAAGAAAGCTGGCCATGGTGGGGGAAGGGCATGTGTGAAAATCTTGTCATGCAATGAATGTCAGATAAAAAGGGGTCTGCTACAATCCTCCAGTAATCCAATAAAGTGGAAAACCTTGTGGTATCACTGAGACGAGAACAAGGTAATATTTCTCCATAAATCTTCAAGGAGTGACCAGGTTCAATAGTTACAGAAGGGTGCAAAGGTAGGAAGTAAACCACTTGGCAGTCATCTCAAGTGAGCTCTAAATGGGTGAAAATCTGTCATCCCTTCATGTTTTTAATTTAATAACAGATTTCTGGAGTATCATTTTAGCTCAAATAAAAGGTCCCCTTTCACCTTTCTCTCTAGCTGTTACAGAAAACTGTATTCAGAATAACCAGAAGCAACCACACAGACCCTCCCCTTTATCTCATTTTAGTTAGATCACAGACTACATACAAACACCTAAAATTCCAATGAAACTCCAGAAAGAAGAAAAAAAAAAAAAAAGGCAACTTACCCACTGATTTTTCCATTACAAAGTCTTAAGAAATGCTATTTTTAAAAATAAAATGCACTAGTATTGCTTTCAAACCCAGAAGACTTACATTTTTTTCTTTAAAAGGCATCCCAAACATTAGGCATGAAGAAAACTGCACAAACACTAATCTACCAATCTTCTAATTTTGCAAAGGTATAGTATTTCTACTACCTTGTTTGTTCATTGACTTTTGGCTCATGGTTATAAAAAAGATCAACCAGTTGTCTAATGGAAGAATCCATGACACTCTTCCAAAGCGAACACTTTACTTCAAAGCTTTCAATTTAAAAAAAAAAAAGCAATACAATAATCAAGAAGTATAATCACAGAATAAGTGTGTAACAGAAAGTGGTGTCTATAATCACAGCTGTCTTAAAGTCCAGGCTAGAGACTAGAAATCTTAATTTCAACTAGTTCTTTTCTTAATAATAGGTTACCTTCCTATAAAAGCAAGAAGTCCATCTGCCCCAGGCAGATAAGTTTTGAAGCATTAATTCAGATAAAAATCTAGCATTTTCTTTCTTTCTTTGAGTATGTGAATTCTAGTGTGCTATAATGTGAGAATTCCAACATATGACCATTATGGCATAATATCTCATTGCTCAGCTTGTCATTATTTCATTTGTAATTCTTATGTTAATTATGTTCATAATTACTATAAACAGATGTGGTAGACATTCATGTGACCTTTTATTGCAGAATGCATTCCTCACTCATTTTGCTTTAATTTCTCATGTACATGAAGCTGAAATGCAGAAAAAAGAAAAAGCCTTTCTAATTTTCTAATGTTTTAAATGCAAAAGTTAAAACAGAACCTACCTCTACTTCATCTGCATTTCAGAATATCAATATATTCTTAACATTTAAGCTGCTTTATAGCACATTTCTAAATTGCACACTGAACCTCACTGCTGCTTACTAAATTGTAGCTCTGGATGCCAAACAAAGGCTAGCATCCATCTCTAAGTTGTTTGTCTTCTTTTTTCCTTAATATATCAAAGGTTAATGCAGCAGAATTGTGCTTCAAAACCAAGTGCCTAGCAGCTACATAGCGATTTATTCACTCATAACTCAACCATCATCCTCTTTACATAAAACACATTTACAATAAAATCAGTATGGATTTCATTAGCTGAAAACCTCCTCGAATTTCATTTCTTTGGCCCTAATCTATAATTAGTGTGGACAGACAGGTGCAAACCCTTCTCTTCTACAGATGGCTACTGGAAATGGTGCAAAGTAGCTCCTTCTGTTTAAACAACACAGAGATAACCTGCTCTGTCTTATCACTTACAATTACCTCCATTAAACTGAACTAATGTTTGCTTTAATAAAATGTTCACTGTTCTTTAAACATTATTTAGGAACTCTTATATTAATGGCTGTAAAAAAAAAAAAGTGAAGTTGGAAGGTGTCTCTTTAGATAATAATAAATAGCTTACTCTGGATGAAAGGTCCCCATTGATGGATAATTCTGAGGTTCACAAAGGTTTTTAGTTGATTTAACATTGGTTAGTTACTTCACATAAATAAGGTCAAATATACATTTGAAAAGAGCATTCAGGTGATAAATATAATTTCACATGTAGAACGGGAGGGAAACATTTTTCCTGAAGTTTAGAACTATGAAAGGTTCAAATTTTGAGTATGGATTTGGGCTGTTATTGCTAAGTATGTAACTCCTAAAAGTTCTAGATAGTTTTAAAAGAATATTTATGTTAACCCAATTTTATGTATTTGTTTAACTTCTGATAGATTATTCTTGACGTTGATTGAGTTCATTCTTTTAAGACACATTTAAAGAATTAACTATGAATCTAAGTGCACTCTGCAAACACATGGTTAAAAATAACTCCATTTCATAATAAATAACTTCTATAAAGCCAGAGCTCACTGCTCCCTGCTTCTGCTATCAATAAAGCCTGTGGATCACTATATGATGAATAAGGTGCCCATAAAATAAAGAATTTTTAAATGCCAAAACAGCAACAAATAAATAGCCTTTCTCACTGAACTTACATAACTTACAGTAATAGGCTCCAGCAAAATGCAACTGACTCGGGTTTTTTTCACATGCAAATCCTGCAGGTGCCAATTTTTCAGACTGCTTTGCTATGAAGGGCTATGTTGCCTGCATAAAACCTCAATGAGGAAGGCTTTGCATTCAGTGCCTGTCAGCTGATGTTCATATCAAAGAAGTGAGAAACAGGATTTGACAGTGAAGAATGTCCTAAACTGACAACCACTGACCAGCATTCCTATTGGAAGCATTTCTTTCTCCTGATCCCTTTTCAGTGTTTAAGGAAAAAAAAAAAATGGTGGGGGGAGCTAAGCTTCTATATTACAATAAAATAAATTATAATGGCACCTTACATTTGTGCAGTTCTTTGCTATTTATGAAATACTCTTTTATCTGGAAATATTTCAACCAACACCTCGATGAGAGAGCTTATCATCAAATACTAACACCAAGAGCAATAATTTGCTTCTCTCAGAAAAAAATTGTGAACATATTTTTTTTAAAAAGCTTCATTCCTATAGCTGAAATGTTACTGTCCTACTATTTCAAGCAACTTGGAATTTAATAGTGCAGTTTGCATTGTACTGTGGACAGAATACTTCTTGTTAGGAAGGTCTTTTTAAAGCTTTTATAATCGAATTATTAGCAGGTATTAGTGAGTCAAAGAGACTTAGTATAAAGGAAAATATCATTTCAAAGACTTCTGGTCTGTTTTGAGTTGTCCAAACATTAGAGAGAGGGGAAAAATGCACCGTTTTCTACACATTGCTTTTATTAGGTATGAGCTGGACACTGGAGAAACTATACACTGAAATTCTCCCACACAACATTTAGGTTTTCAAATAAAGCGACTGCTGTTCAAATGGTTTATAATTACATTACTGATGCTTACACAAAAATTT